ATATTCCAATTAATGGATCTGATAGGCCATTAAATATTAATATATAATCATAGATATATTAGGTCATATATATAGAATATTACTAATATTGAATTAATAATTATAATAATTATTCATTTATGTTATAATTTATTTATTTTTTTATCAATTTAATGTATGTATAATATAATAAATTTAAATATTAAACTTTCTATTAATTGGTATTACTGTCATATAGTGATGTGATTTTTTTTATCTATTAAAAAAAAACTTTAACAAACTGATCCAATATACTATATATAGGAATGATACAATCTCTACCGATATCATAAAATTTATTTTTCCATAGTTCTATGTTATACAATTTAATATTATCATTAACGGTATAATAAAATCTAGTTTTGTGATCTTCTGTCGATGAATACCATCTTACAAATACTAATGAATGCTTTTTGGATTCTGAATTTGGAAAATGTACTGTATGTTCAAAATAATATTGAACTATACCAGGATAAGTATCCTTAAAATTACCATGAATAAACTGAGATAATATATTAGCTGATTTGATATGTCTTTTTGAATATACTGATCCAAATACTTTGGCATCAAGCTGTAACCTTCCATATATATTCACCTTTAGAAGTACCAGTATGGCATTAGACTGAGCAGTATAAATTTTAGATAGTGGCATAAAATCTTTATCATTATAAACATCACAATAATATTTGACTAACATATCTAAAGCTTTCTTTATAAGATTTGTGTCTTTCTTTTTTGGATTAAGAAAACTTTTTGGAAAAAGTTTTGAACTTGTTCTGGCCATTTTTTCACATTTCTGAACATTAATAAAAATTCTTGGTAGTTTATTTCATTGAATTTATCTTAAACTGCAAAACTGCTAGTAGTTTCTTTTGGTATTATTAAAGGTAAACAAGCTGATAAATGTTGATAGTCTTGAGTATATGAAGTAAATTAATCAAGAAGAGAATTATATTGAATGGTTTTCAATAACACTAGTTCGATTCTTCTATTGCTATTATGATATGAACCTATAAGCATAAAATAATTTAATTAAATTGATTTAATAAAATATAATTTGATATATATGTCAAATTTACCTAATAAACCATTCATTCATTTATAACTAAAATACTAAAATGCATACAATGGGCCATAATCTAATGCACAATGATAAATATGTAAGCATAAATGTAAATTTGATATAATCTTTTCCTCATCATAATTTTTTT